AATGCGACAACAATAATTACGACGAAAGCATTACACATAAAGAACAAGCAACCACATAATCGAAAATATAAGGCTAATGATGAAAACGTGGTGGACAACGATGAAATGAAGCATCTATAATAATGTATATATATATATATGCGTGGAAACCAACTAAAACAATAACAACAACACGATGAAACACAAGACAGATACGGAAAAAAATTCTTCCTAATGATACGATGGTGAATATGAATGAATCACTTCTTAGACATGTTGATTCTGTGCTTGACAATAACTATAATTTCTTTCCACTCCAGATATCAGACATTGCCAGGTAAATATAAAACTCCAAGAAAAATAACAGTGTTAAAGTACTATATATTGAATTAAAATTTTATTATGTTAGATCTATTATATTAATATCTAGTGTCACTTGATAACATTTTCATCAACATTGAAATACCTGATATCATGGTAGCTATATATATATACACACACACTCTTTTTCATTATTTAGCAGCTAAGAGCATATGCAAATGCAAAAGCAATAAAAAAAGGAAAAAATAGAGGTTGGTAGTAAAAATCAAGTGTCGGATTCTTCCAAAACTTATCAATGAGTCGCTGAATGTGCAAACATATATATTTAGATATATAAAGCAAAGCACGTCATTTACGCTATATAATTTGAATCGTCCTCTGCGTACTTACAAAGTGTTCGCCAAGATTTTTCGTTGAATAATCAGACTATAGTAAGTAAATTATCAAGATGATTTTCAGCAGAATACAGAGTATTTGGATAGTTAGCATATTCTTTGTCAGTATAAACCTAATTTTTGAAACCGATATAGAATAAAAGCTGATGATCAACATTGCTTTACTAAATGGACTAGTCTATGCGTATTAGTAGATAGTAATTCGATTGGTTGACCTTGCCACATACCTGTTTTCATATTTGTAACATGTATTCAGATTAGATATGCTGAGATATTGCCAATATTTCAAATGAGTAGTTCCCTTCATTTTTTCTTCGGCGTATTATCCATGATCACGTCTGACTGGTTAATCGTATAAATCAAACAATCACCATAATTTACAAAGTAATTTAATGCCAAAGAAATGAAAAGCACGGTAGTGTAGAACTTAAAATTTGAATTCAATTGAAAGTATTGTTTCAATGGAAGACAGTTCAAACGTGAACTTGGAGTGGAAGATTACGGTTACCGATAACAAGTCGAGTCATTGGTAAACGAGCCTTGATAGCTCACTAATTGTCAGTCGTTCCGCTAGTTAATATTAATTTATTTCTCTTAGTAAAATAATAGCGGTTAGTCACCATGAATCATCAACTAATTTAGAAAGGAGAAAAAGCCTGCACAAGTTATCTGTTACTTAATAACGTAATAGTAACTTCCATTGTCATCGTTAACCTTCACTATATTCTCCCTTGTTTACTTTCAACGTTTGAAAACTTGAACGTTGAATTCAGTTTTCAATCCATACATATATGCAGTTCGATCGCCTAGAAAATTTGTTTTTCTATATTTTATAAGAGTAATGGGTTCTCTTGTGATTCGTGGAACTTCGTTCACATTAACTCAACGTCCAACTCAATCCCTTTCGCAGCAATCTCACTCGAATAGTGGGCCACTTCAAAAATTCTTCAACAGTATTGGTACCTGAAAAAGACAGCAGTGTCACATATCCTGCAATTTGGAGAAGTGCTCACATCTCTGCTGGGAGATGCTGCATTTTCAGCGGGAGATGCTGCATTTTCAGCGGGAGATGCTGCATTTTCAGCGGGAGATGCTGCATTTTCAGCGGGAGATGCAGTACCCAATGTGAGGGATGCACATCTCTCAATGAGATGATACATCTCCAACAGCAAATCATCGCATCTCCCGAGTGTGGGTGCCGCGTCTGCTGCGGGAGATGCCGCATCTCCTGTGGGAGAAGTGAGCACTTCTCCAAAATCTTGGATATGTGACACCACTCTTGAATCTAGGGACTAATCGAATCCTATTGGATGAAAATGGACCCAACCATTCTTCTCCTATGTTTTTTCTTACGCTTAAGACGATCGAACTAAAACTTTTCTCACAGGTAGTTGATTTTGTTTAGGGTGCTTTCAGTTATTTTTCAGCCCTCAAGAAAGTTTCTTGAAGCCAAGGCAAAATCCAAAGTTTCGAAGAATCTTGAAAGGTTTTTCTCTCTGATCTATAATACGCCAGTAGTATGTCATACTTGAGCAGAGCAATACTTTTGGAGAAATGGTAAGGTACATCATAGAGAGTATCAATTTTATTAAGAAAATGGGTCAAGAAATGTTCTCGGTGTCTCATAAAATTAAGTAATTGATTTTTGTTTCTCTCCTATAGATTATGCATAAGATAAAAAATATAGAAATTAGTAGGTATTACAACTGAAACGAGAATTATGGACGCACTTTAAGATGAAGAGAGTTTTGAGATTTCTACTGACAGCATTGTTTGATGATGAAAACTGCATATCATACGAAGAAGGATAGGTAAATTTTCACTTATTAAAGGCATGAGAGAAAAAAAAGAAAGAAATCTTGTGATAGATGTGTGAAGATCAAGTATGAAAGGATCAAGCAAATTACTGGAGTTTTCATAGTGAGCTGATGAGTTGAAGACCTTGATGATGTTTCAAAATATTCATAATACATCTGTGAAAAACGAAACTAAGAGCTATAATAGATCAATCCCAAGCTGACCGGTTCTGAATTTCCTAAATAGTTTAAAATAATCATTGAAATTTTTTTAGATTGGTATTGCTATTGTGGTTTATTTTACAAGATTAGTATTATAAATCGTCACTTAAAAAGAACTTTTTTTTTCATTCAAAAGTTTGAACATATGAATCATATATCAATTCTGTCAGCAGAAGAATAGTAATTGACGAAAAATATATTACTTAACTATTTTTATTTCGTAACTGACTATTAAGTTATCTTGTTGTGAGACAAGATTAACATACGCCTCTTAATACTAATATGATTGTTGTTTTATGTTATGCTCGTTTTGCGTACACTAACAGTAAGACACTTTATCGAAGCATGAATAAATGAACTAGACAGAACAACAAAATATACGCATAATATTCATGTATACTCAAAAGGACAAAAAAAAGACCTTTGCTCAAGCTACACAATGAGCTTTCTTCTTTCTTCTCTTTTTGCACTAGAATGAGATATTATATGTTGTATTGTTCACAATGAATTGAGTAAGAGCGCATTAGGAGAACAAGAGATAAAAAATTCAACAGAAGGTACACAAAATGTTGTATTATTTTGAATATATAAGCTGATCGTTATACGAACTCTTCGAAAAGATAAATTTGTATTCTTATTGTTGAATAATACAGAAGAGATTACGTGAATAAGTCGCAGTATATAAAGAGTAATTCAAAAAGAAAATACTATTCATAAAAAATGGCTGGCCAAGATGCTTCTCGCTATCAACCTGGTCGTGGTTTGCCACCGTTTTTACTATCATGAAACTATGCAGATTCAAGCATAGATAGCGATGGAGCATCGAGAATATTTGCAGCATCAAGTTGTTCTATGACATCCGACAAAGACAGCGACTGTTCGTCTGTCTCACACATTCCTCGTACTTTCTCTTATATGAGTACGTCATCAAGCTTCACCTGGTCTGATACAACTTCGATTTCTACGGCGCCGAGCACGTTTGAGTATGAAACAAGTAATGTGAGTCGTTTAGCTGATGATGAGACAAGAACACTTCGAAACGAAGCTCTTTCGGTGGACAAAGAGAGTCTATCTAATACCCGTTTCAAAATAAAAAAAGGGTGGCCATTTTTTGAATAAATTTTGATAGATCGATGGTGGAGAAGTGAAATTTTTAGAGTAGATAGAGCAAGTCAAGGGCTACAAAACGACATCCTTCCGAGATTTTTTGTATGATGTTTTCGAAGCTTGGGTATATCGACTTTCTTGCGAACATTCAAGTAGGGACTTATAATGCTTTCGAATCATATTTTTTTTATGGGTTAGATTCATCTACTGAAGGTCTACAAGAATCACACTAACCCGAATTTTTGATATCCATCTTTAAAGAAACGCGATCGATCCCAAGTAGACCTATTTTTGCAGAAAATTGATGATATGACTTGCACAATTTCACTTCGCAGTAAGCTTTCGGACAGGTTTTCGACTACGGCGAGTCGAATGGCAGTGTTTTCGATCAAAGTTGATCGATCCATAACCNATCTGTGAAAAACGAAACTAAGAGCTAATAGATCAATCCCAAGCTGACCCGTTCTGAATTTCCTAAATAGTTTAAATCGGTCGTTGAACTTTTTTCAGATTGATATTGTTATTATGGTTTATTTTATAAGATTAGTATTATAAATCGTCACTTAAAAAAAACCTCTTTTTTCATTCAAAAGTTTGAACATATGAATCATTTGTCAATTCTGCCAGCAGAAGAATAGTAAATGACGAAAAATATATTACTTAACAATTTTTATTTCGTAACTGGCTATTAAGTTATCTTGTTGCAAGACAAGATTAACATATACCATTTAATACTAATATGATTGTTGTTTTACGTTATGCTCGTTTTGCGTACTATAACAGTAAGACGCTTTATCGAAGCATGAATAAATGAACTGGACAGAACGACAAAATATACGCATAATATTCACGTATACTCACAAGGACAAACAAAAAAAAACCTTTGCTCAAGCAACACAATGAACTTTCTTCTTTCTTCTCTTTTTGCACTACAATGAGATATTATATGTTGTATTGTTCATAATGCATCGAGTAAGAGCGCATTAGAAGAACAAGAGATAAAAAATTCAACAAAAGGTACAAAAAATGTTGTTTTATTTTGAACATATAAACTGACCGTTATACGAACTCTTCGAAAAGATAAATTTGTATTCTCATCGTTGAATAATACAGAAAACATTACATGAATAAGTCGCAGTATATAAAGGGTAATTCAAAAAGAAAATACTATTCATAAAAAATGGCTGGCCAAGATGCTCAACCTGGTCGTGGTTTGCCACCGTATTTACTATCACGAAACTATGCAGATTCAAGCACAGACAGCGATGGAGCATCGAGAATATTTGCAGCGTCAAGTTGTTCTATGACATCCGACAAAGACAGCGACTGTTCGTCTGTCTCACACATGCCTCGTACTTTCTCTTATATGAGTACGTCCTCAAGCTTCACGTGGTCTGATACAACTTCGATTTCTACGGCTCCGAGCACGTTTCAGTATGAGACAAGCAGTATGAGTCATTCTATTGATGATGAAACACGAACACTTCGAAGTGAAGCCTTTTCAACGGGGATAGAGAGTCTATCTAGTAACAGTGGTGTTGGTCCTATTTATGAAGCTAGTAGTGGCTCAATGCAGAAGACGACACCAAGTAATTTTTCTCGAAGTGATCTATACACTGGTCCAGTTTGTCTAACCAACACTAATAATTTTAATGCGAACATCAGTTCTGCCTGGGATTTCAATGCACCTGCTTCCAGTCGCCCGGAAGATATGTTTACACCATATGTGCCAATCTTTTCTAACATTGACAATGAACGACATCATGAAAGGAACGAATCATCTGGTTTGTATTAACTATAACGTTGAGTTAACATAGAATTGAGCTATTTTTAGATGATATGACGATTGATGAGGTGGAAACACAGCCCAACATCACGGTCAACGTGAAAATTCCAGAAAATATCAGTTATGATGAATGTTGCCTTTTCAGTGATAAGACAGTACATGAGTGTGGACCAACTGCTCACCGTGAGTTTTATAGATTAATGAATTCAGAGGTATATCTTTTCTGCTATCAAATAGTTCACTATGGCTGGTCGTGAACATGTGTTACTTTTGCTAACCTCTCCGAGGTTGATATTCGATCGTACTTAAAACAGAACGGAATCATTTCCAAAAAGGAAGATGATAATATTGTTATGAATGAAAAAAACTTAATCGCCAATCGATTGCTTCGGAAAAACATCCTTGTCNAATGTTGTTGTTTTTTGCTTCATGGTTGTAACAAATTGAAATGAAATTATATAATGAATTAATATGAAAGTTTGGAATTTTCCTTAGTTTTAAAGAAAACAGGGCAGGGCAGAGCAGGGCAGGTTAAAGGTTCTGAAATAAACTTACAGGGCAGGGCAGGGCAGGGTCAGGGCAGGGTCAGGTTGTCAAAATCAGAGCAGGGCAGGTTACAGGTTGTCAAAATAGCGTAACCTGCAGCCCTCTAGTCGTGGTTTGCCACCGTATTTACTATCACGAAACTATGCAGATTCAAGCGCAGATAGCGATGGAGTATCGAGAATATTTGCAGCGTCAAGTTGTTCTATGACATCCGACAAAGACAGCGACTGTTCGTCTGTCTCACACATTCCTCGTACTTTCTCTTATATGAGTACGTCCTCAAGCTTCATCTGGTTTGATACAACTTCGATTTCTACGGCACCGAGCACGTTTGAGTATGAAACAAGTAATGTGAGTCGTTTAGCTGATGATGAGACACGAACACTTCGAAACGAAGCTCTTTCGGTGGACAAAGAGAGTCTATCTAGTTATTATGGTACTCGTCCTGACAACAAAGCTAGCAGTGCGTCAACTGAAAAGACAGTATCACACAACTCTTTCATGGATGATGTATACACCAGTCCGTTTTGTCTCACTAAGAGCAATGATTATAATACGAACATCACTTCTGAGTGGGATTACAATTCAACCCCTTACAGTCGTCCGGAAGATATGTTCATACAATATGTGTCAATTCTTTTTAACATTGACAATGAACGACATCATGAAAAGAACGGATCACCTGGTTTGTATTAATTATAACTTTGAGTTGACATAGAATTGAGCTATTTTTAGATGATATGACGATTGATGGGGTGGAAACACAGCCCAACATCACGGTCAACGTGAAAATTCCAGAAAATATCAGCTATGATGAATGTTGCCTTTTCGGTGATAAGACAGTACATGAGTGTGGACCAACTGCCCACCGTGAGTTTTATAGATTAATGAATTCAGAGGTATATCTTTTTTGCTATCAAATAGTTCACTATGGCTGGTCGCGAAAATGTGTTACTTTTGCTAACCTCTCTGAGGTTGATATTCGATCGTACTTAAAACAGAACGGAATCATTTCCAAAAAGGAAGATGATAATATTGTTATGAATGAAAAAAACTTAATCGCCAATCGATTGCTTCAGAAAAGCATTCCTGTTGACGATAATATGAAAATTTGTCCCAGGCACCGAGGTTCTTTCGGCATCGATTGGTTTAATAGAAACACGACGTGTCACCATCCAGAGCACGACTCAAGCTACAGTTCATCAATAAAAGACTGTCGAAGAGCAAAGCTCATCACTTGCCTCAAGATTGAAGGTTTTCCAATAGGGGGTAGGTAAATTTGTTCTCATTCAGTACTAACCTAAATAAGTTAACAAGTTTCGTTTTAAGATTATGTTCAAAACACCGAAAGCTGGCATCGTTGGTCGACAATATTGCGTCGATGATGAATGATGCCGTTTCTATTAGTGTAACTTCTCAACATACAGCTGGATCTGCATTCGTGATCGATGATTCACGAGAAACAATGAATCGCATTCTAACAGAAGTGAATTTAAGTTCAGTTCGATCTCAAACAACTAAATCAATCAAAAACCAATAAAAAAGTGGCCTTCGTCGTTTAGTGTCCAAATTTAAACGAGGATCAAGCGCTCTTCAAAGTATATTATGAATCGAATAAAAATTATATTCAGTATTGAGGTAATTAAATTAATTTAGAGAAACTAGCTGAGACACTCATGCCTGGCCAAGGCCAAGAACTAATTCAAATAGCTCAGCTTCAATCACAAGCTAGAGAAGAACAACAATTTNCCATATCATTTTCTAATCGGGAGATATGAGCAGCGAAAATTGGTCAAAAAAATAATTTTTCCTCGAATTGTGGAATCCATAAAATACCAACCACTCATTTGTTTGAACGACTATTTCGCTGGAATCCTGACAATGCTACGATGCATGTCTAATAGAAAATATGCAGTGAATGATTAGAAAAAAAAATTGATTTTGATATGTCTAAATAATGCATGACCGTACACATATAGTATAAAATATGAATAGGAACCTACAGAGTATTAATACATTGTCTCAAATGTTTTTTATATAGATTTTAGAATAATATTTGGTCATCATTTTAATTCTGTACAGCTTAAGTTCTCTTCCCCACACGACATATAAGCCATTCCACGTAAGCCACAGTCGATTCTCCATTACAGCGATCAATCGATATTCTCCGATTTGGCTCATTTTTACCAATGTGATAGAGGCAAGTGTTTGATGACTTTTGGTGAAAGCCGCTTCGAAAAATATTGAATCGTTCGTTTTTTATCGCAGTTTTACTGAAAGCACTGTAAATCGTTATAAAACGCACTTTCACGAGGGACGATTTTGGACACTCCAGAAATCAACAAAACATCAATCGTTTGAGTTGAAGTTTTTTGTACAATAATACCTAACTAAGTTCTACATGTACCATAAATTTCAGCTCAAACAAATGAGTGGTTGGTATTTTATGGATTCCACAATTCGAGGAAAAATTATTTTTTTGACCAATTTTCGCTGCTCATATCTCCCGATTAGAAAATGATATGGACCTGAAACTTTGAACACAAGCATATCTTGATGCTACCTAGCTACCATATAAATTTCAGCTCTCGAGAGCAAAGTATTCCTGCAGAGCAACTTAAAAAAAAATCAATTTTTTGCCAAAGGTGGATTTTTGACCTTGATTTTCTCCCAAAACCAACACCAACTTTTTTACTCACCTATACAGCAGAAACGACCCTACTTTGGTCTACAACCTGGCATAAAAATCAGCTTGGGACGCACACAAGCCGTGGTGAAATTAATCAATCTTTTTTGCAAAAAATGAATTTTTACGAATTTCATGTTTGGCACCCTAATTTTTCCGAATATCTCGTGAATGGCTCGCTCAAGAAAGTTGAAACTTTCAGGGATAACAGATCTCAGATTATGAAGTAAAACATGTGTTGCAGTCAAGTTTCCATAATGCTTGGATCCATGGGCTACTCGAATCGTATTGGATAAGAATGAACCTAGTCATCTTTCTCCTATGGTTTCTTTTACACTCAATCCGATCGAACTAAAACTTTTCTCACAGGTAGTTGATTTTGTTTAGAGTGCTTTCAGTTATTTTTCAGCCCTCAAGAAACTTCCTTCTGACCAAGGCAAAATCCAAGGGTTCGAAGAATCTTGAAAGGTTTTTCTCTCTGATCTATAATGCGCCAATAGTATGTCACACTTGAGCAGACCAATACTTTTGAAGAATTGGTAGGGTACATCATAGAGAGTATCAATTTTATTAAGAAAATGGATGAAGACATGTTCTCGGTGTCTCATAAAATTAAGTAATTGATTTTTGTTGCTCTCCGATAGATTATGCATAAGATAAAAAGTATAGGAATTAGTAGGTATTACAACTGAAACGAGGATCATGGACGCACTGTAAGGTGAAGAGAGTTTAGAGATTTCCACTGACAGCATTGTTTGATGATGAAAACTGCATATTGTACGAAGAAGGATAGGTAAATTTTAACTTATTAAAGGCAAGAGAGAAAAAAAAGAAAGAAATCTTGTGATAGATGTGTGAAGATCAAGTGTGAAAGGATCAAGCAGATTAACTGGAGTTTTCATAGTGGGCTGATAAGTTGAAGACTTCGATGATGTTTTAAAATATTCGTAATACATCTGTGAAAAACGAAACTAAGAGCTATAATAGATCAATCCCAAGCTGACCCGTTCTGAATTTCCTAAATAGTTTAAATCAATCATTGAACTTTTTTTTGATTGGTATTGTTATTATGGTTTATTTTATAAGATTAGTATTATAAATCGTCACTTAAAAAAAAACTTTTTTTTCATTCAAAAATTTGAACATATGAATCATAGATCAATTCTGTCAGCAGAAGAATAGTAAATGATGAAAAATATATTACTTAACTATTTTTATTTCGTAACTGACTATTAAGTTATCTTGTTGCAAGACAAAATTAACATATACCACTTAATACTAATATGATTGTTGTTTTACGTTATGCTAGTTTTGCATACTATAACAGTAAGACGCATTATCGAAGCATGAATAAATGAACTGGACAGAACGACAAAATATACGCATAATATTCACGTATACTCAAAAGGACAAAAAAAAGACCTTTGCTCAAGCAACACAATGAACTTTCTTCTTTCTTCTATTTTTGCACTACAATGAGATATTATATGTTGTATTGTTCATAATGCATTGAGTAAGAGCGCATTAGGAGAACAAAAGATAAAAAAATTCAACAAAAGGTACAAAAAATGTTGTTTTATTTTGAACATATAAACTGACCGTTATACGAACTCTTCGGAAAGATAAATTTGTATTCTTATTGTTGAATAATACAGAAAAGATTACGTGAATAAGTCGCAGTATATAAAGGGTAATTCCAAAAGAAAATACTATTAATAAAAAATGGCTGGTCAAGATGCTTCTCGCTATCAACCTGGTCGTGGTTTGCCACCGTATT